ATAAATATTACTTTGTGAAATTTCGAAATGAAAGTATGTCTTCAACGATGAAAAGAAGAAAAAATATCCTTTTTTGAGAGTTACTAATGCAACTTTTTCGGTTGCTGCTGGTGGAGACAATGATATTAAAAATCATTTGAAGACAAAGAAGTACAAAGTGGCAGCAAACTTCTCTTTAAACTTCAATCATATCAGATTTTTTCATCGGAGAGAAATCAGATTTGAATCTATCGACGATGGAAGGCTTGTGGTACAACACAATTGATGAGAATCACAGTTTCAGGTTTGTTATTCAAAAAATCATTTCAAAAAACCGATTCATTTGACCGACGCTGCCAATTGCAAAGCAATCAAGATGTTTCCTGTCGTCATTCCTTATTTTCTTCCATTATCTGAGTGAATCTTAAAATAACTGAACTTTCACAAGAAAAATGTGAAACGTCGGATATGATTTTTCGTTGATTAAAAGAGTCTTGGAAAATTTGATAAGAAAGTATTATATAATCGAGCAGTGTTGGTATACGTTGTGCATAATGCAATTCGCAAAGCATGTAATGCACTTGATGTTGAAATAGGCAGCATTGTTGTTCAGATCTACATTTTTATATCCACACCATTGCACAGAAGCATTAAAGTCCATTATTTGAAAGTTCCAACCTTTGAAAACGTATTTCTACGACCTTCCTTCACCCCTCAAAAAAGCCAGATGTATCCATTTTTTCAGTAATACACTATCGAAGCTCTGGTTCATTTTTGTTCATGAACAGGTGAAAATATATTTTTGTTAACTGAAATTTTTCCAAAATCGAGAAATTATTTAATTATTATCTCATCAATTTTAGGCCATGGTTTTCGAAGCAACAATAAAGAAATTGAAGGCGATGATATTCCAGCAGTTGCAACATTTAAGGAACAATTTGCAAACATCCAACCAACACAATTACTTTCTGGTGTAAGTAAAAGTGAAAATGGAGAACCTGAAGAAAGAAAACTATGACTTGAAGCAATTTGAAGTATAGGCGCAACAATTTCAAAGTAAATATTTAATTTTGCACCTCAATTTTCATTTTTTCATATTGAAATGTCTTCCATACGTCCATCAGGTGATTGCTACTAATATTTTGTCATGTAAAACTATTTGGTTGGGTGCTACTCACTGAAAAACTTGAGAAAACGCTTATTTTTCTCACAGAAAATAATATTTTGAAATTTTGTTTTGAAATCATCAGAGACTACTTCACATAAGCTGTTCGAACAATTCACTTATATTTTTCGGTATATATTTGACAACGTAATTGACGAATGGAGCAAAGGCCAGACATCCATTGACAAAAGTTGAGTTCAATGTTTTACCTTTCTGTTAAAGCAAAACATGCCATTCGTTGAGTTTTTAGAGATCGTTGAATATGCCATACCAGAATACCAGAGGAACGCATATTTTCTGCCACTAAGCGAATGTGGACATACGAAAAAACTCGCCTATAAGTCAGTGCCGTTAAATTAATTTTTTTTTGTGAAGAATAACTTAAAATTTTCTTGTTTGGATTTTTACACTCAATCGCACCACGAGCTTTATAAAAAACTCAGTCAACAACAGAAATACGTCAGACCGAAGACGTCTTCGAAAATTCCGGAAACACCGTCCCCTTCATCAACAACTTCAGACAGTGCTTGAATTATTTAATCATTTTTAATATTACTTTGCTCTTTTTTATCATTTCCATTTTTTTTGAAAAAAATTGTGTTGCTCTCTCACCGATTATATGTCGCGATTTTCAGTGAATTAGAATATGGAAAAATCGATGACTAAAAAAACCGTCCTGGATTCTGCCGGAAAAAATATGGTAATTTAAATATAGAGTTACACATATATAAAAATAATCAGGATGATACCGCTGTTTGGCCGTCTTACCTGGCACCCAGGGAAGAATGGTATTGTAGATAGACAGAATAGGATTATTACCACGCCCACAAATTTCGTTAAGCGAAAACCTTTAAACTGCCATAACTAAGCCACGAATTAAGATACAAAACTGGAATATGGTAAACGGCATCAGAGTATATGGTTTAAAAATAGAACGTGGTCCAGCTTGTCCACAGAGTTTAAAAGCTGTCCACTTGCCATATAACGGTTATATTGAAAACTTCTAAAAGAGCGGTAGTTCACTTAAAAAATACGTTAAAACTATTAGACTTTATTACTAAGATGCTACGGAAAGGCTTTGTAAGAGCCGATATCAAAATTGAACAAGCAAGGAAGGTCTAAGTTCGGGTCTAACCGAACATTTCATACTCTTTCAACTTGCAAGGATCAAAGCCGGGGAAATTCCTTCAGGTGTTGACAAAACTTTATATTAAACAAGTAAGGAAGAGCTAAGTTCGAGTGTAACAGAACATTTTATACACTCACAAATTTCAATAATATATCTGACAGGTGAACCGATATTTTCAGTAAAAGCTCGCAATAGAGAATGGTGTCCAAATTTTCGGTATCGACTTAGGCAATTTTGGTCAAAAGGTAGCACGCCTCAAAGGTATAGCTCGTGCAAATGTTTATCCAGATATATTGATAGATTATTGATTTTTACACTGGAAATTGAAAAATTCACATGGTTTTCATCGTCCAAATTTGATACCGGCTCTTGTACAGCCCATTTTTTTGTCTCTGACATATTTAGCTATGGAGTTACCTTTTTTACAAGTAGTAGTTTTTGGGAATCGGCGGGGTCACCATCCGTTTTCACACAGTCCGTAGGGGTTCTTATAGGATTTGTCCTAAGCGAATTTGCTTATTGTAGCTTAAGTGGTTTAAGAAATATGTACATTAAACGTATTAGAGGGGCGTTGTTCGTCCCTTTTTTCAAAATTTTTAACCCACAGGTCTGCTACTGCAATTCCTTTTGCCAAATTCCGATTTCGCACATCTTCGAACTTGTCGTTACATTTTTGTCAAGAAACACGTATACCAAGTTTCATTAAGATATCTTATAATATTCATTTATTTTAAGATATCTTAATTTTTATGTATATAGGTATATATATGTATGCATACGTCATTTACGTCATTTGTATACATACATATATATATACATATACCAAATTGTAACATTTTCGTTGGGCATAGTTGCTTTAGACCCATATATGCCATACCTTTTACAAATGCCCTGCTAAGTGTTATAATGTAAACCATCTCAGAACTTTACTTGATCAATGTATACAGCATAACTAGTTAAAGCGTTCTTTGGTTTCCCTTCTCGATTTTCCTGCGAAAGGCATGAATCAAGTCACCGACTGATATTGTATTAGCATATTTCTCTTGCGATAGGGTTGCGAATTTTCTAATTAAAACAAGAACAAGTAAGGAAGGGCTAAGTCCGGGCGTAATCGAACATTTTATACTTATGCAACTTACAAGGATCAAAGCCGGATAAATACCTGCAGGTGTTGTGAAAACTTTATATTAAATATTGCGAAATAATTCAACATTTATTATTCAACGAATTCGTGAATGGATTACAATCAAATTTGTATCTTATTAACTTAGATTCATTAAGGTTCCTCACATACCATCATCAACATATAAGGAGTAAAGTTGACTCGATTTTTGAAAATTTTGATTTGGGCACTAGAACATGTTTTCACCCAATTTTATCTATTTTAAGGAGACACATTAGGGACACACGTCTTTTCAATTTCAATAAAATAACTCGCACTAAAAAGTCAGCCGGAAACTCGCCGAAAATTTGTTTATTAGATATGATGGCACTAAGGAAATTATTATTCCGATCAATCCATTTCCGACGTACAGACATACTATTATCAGGATTCTCTCCAAATTCCTATAATATATTTCAGAGATTGACCGATATTTTTGATTAAAAGTTCGCAATAGGCACTGGGGTTATAAATTCGGTACCTATGGGCTTGAACAGTTTAGGTTCGATTTGACAATTCAGAGGCACTATTCGTGCAAAGTTTTATCCCGTTATATTGATTAGTGCTTTATTTGTATATTTAAATGGGAAAGAGTCAGATGGAATTTAAAATTGTTTTATATTGAAAGTAGGCGTTCATATTTGCGTGGTAACATAGGAATGTCGGAAGAAAATTACGAACCGAATTTGGTTGAACTCGTTTGAACGGTCTCGAAATATGTGATTTTACCTAAAAGTGGGAGGAGCCACGCCCACCGTCCAATTTTGATACCTGCTCCTACAAAGCTGTTTTGTGCCATCTTGGGCGTGAAATTTAATAATGTCTTTGACGCTTTTAGTTATTGATTTATCACACTTTTAGTAATTTTTAACAAAACCGTTATCCAATAAAAGTGATTGATTTCATGGAAAATGAACTAATTGTTAAGGAAATTCAAATGTTTTTTTTATTTAATGTGAAGTACAATTGATACAATTAAGTTCTGAATATAACATCATTCAAAAGCCTCCACGACTTCTTTTGCAGGAACCAATTCGATGAACCCAATTTTCGAGTACTATTTGTACTAAATCAAGTCGTATGTCATGAACAGCACGTTCAATATTGACTTCTAAAGCTAAAGAAAGACTTCAAATAACCCCACAAGAAGTAGTTTAATGGTGTTAAATAACAATTTCCTGGAGGCCATTCAATGTCACAATTTCTTGAAATTATCGAATCTACACATTTTTCTCGCAATAATTCGGTTGTTGCACGTGCTGTGTGGCACGTAGCCCCGTCTTGTTGGAACCAAACGTTGTCAAGATCAACTTCCTCAAATTCCGGTCGTAAAAAGTTGGTTAGCATCGATCTATACCGCTTTCCGTTGATGGTAACGGTGTCAACAGTTTCATTTCGAAAGAAGTGCGGACCGATGATCCCACCAGATCAAAAACCACACCAAACTGTCAATTTAGATGAATGTAAAGCTTGTTTATGAAATAATTTTTGGATTTCCAGAATCAACAATTTTGTTTATTTGTACGACGAATAGCGAGCACAGATGACGATTACTACGATCATAAAATGCCAAAAGCGCACGAAAAGTTTCAATTGGAAACCGATTACTTTGATAATAAAATTTAATAATTTGTAAACGTTGTTCTTGTGTCAATTTCCATGATGAAATTGTAAACATTACTGAATACAATGAAAAAAATTACAGATACAAGGCATATTAAAAATGGCCGAATGGCAGTGGTCCGATTAGACCCATCTGCGAACACGTCCTTACTTTTTCGACAACGAACATGTATACTAAGTTTCTTAGTTCAGAAATTATTTTTCCGCGTTAAAAAACATTGCTGTAACACCTTATTTTGGTTTTCTATAAATTATTATATCTTAAGTTTTAAAAATACAAGAAACAAAAGAAATTTTTATTTTTATTTGTCATTTGAAACATTCACAATAGTAAAATTGAGCTAAAGTACACAAAACAAAACTTGTCATTGCCAATTTTTCCCAATACCACATACTACCAACATTGTACAGAGTAATAAAATGCTCCCTGGGCTTCATTCAGGTACCTCACATATCGTATGGAGTAAAGTCAGCCGGATGTTCGAAAATCCTAATATTAGTTAAATGGGGGTAAGGTCAAGTTTTCTACCAATTTTATCAATTTTAGAAACAAAGATGTACTGTTACGACTTAAACAAGCTCTCTAATTATCATTGAGATAACTCACATATTGGCCGATTTATGCGGTATAAAGCCACCCGGAAGTTCGACAATCTTTATATTAGGTATATGGGGGCTAAATGACGTATTGACCCGATTCAACCCATTTTTGACACTAAGACATACTATTATCAGGGAAGTATTCTCTCTGAATTTCAATTATATGTCTCACACATTGACATATATTTTTGGAAAAAGTCAACTATAGGTACTGGGGTCCACATATACGATATCTAGGGGCTTAAACAGCTATAGTTCGATTTGGACAGCTCTTGGTCATAAGCTGGTAATCTTCAAGGGAATTATTTGTGCAAAGTTTCTACAATATGATATGGAAGATTTTGCATATTATCTATAGTCAAACGGGAGTCCTTATTTGGTAAAATATTTTTCAATTCCTTGAATAGTTTCTGTTGTTTTTCCGGATTTTTGGCAATGCAAAATAATATGCCCGTTAAGGTGGAGCTTGTCTGTGATAAAGACGAAAGAATATTTGAGATATTGTTTTAACAACATGGTTGAGTTGTGAATAACTTACTGTATCGACGCCAGCCATTATCATATCCAAAGCCATAACCACAGCGATTCTGCGATCAATACGTAACAGTTTTTCTAAAACGCTTTTTTCCTTATCGACTTCTGAGGTAAGTTTTCCCTCAGTATCCAATACAATTTGTTTTAACGCCTCATCAATATATTTGTTGCACAACACTGTAAGCGTATCCAATGTTTTCATCAGTTGATGGAACTTCGGTGTTTTTATTATCTTCCAAATGGATGGCTTGATTTCTATCTTTTCCGACAATTCGAATAAATTGCGAATTTCTTTCAAAAATATTTTACTTTCCGGATTATCACGGTTGTTATGTATCATGCCTAAACGGGTATTTAGTGCGATACCCACCACACTCTCTAAAGTGAGACGATTAATATCATCTTGAAAGTCATCGGGAACTTCGAGTGTCAAAGGATCGCGTATGTGACGTATTCTAAAACAAATTTATGAGAGGAAAATTTTCTAAAACTTCATAATAAATTATTGTATTAACCTTTCGAGAAATTCGTCATTGACTTCCAATAACGTGTTTAAGTAAAGTTTGGCATTTTTGGGTTGCATTAGAACAGGATTAACAGCGGTACGTATTTTTGCCCATTCTTCGCCAGTTCTAGAAATATATTCACACAGAGTTAGTAATGTCTTTAATCTGGATTTCCAGAGTATTCACGTGGTCAATAGTCCAGTCACGCCTCGAAAAATATCTTCTCTATGCACCTTACGATAATAAATGAAAGCTTCGAAAGAACGTCGTTCTGGCCAAATTCCTTCATTTCGAAATATTATTGGATAATCATTTGGATTAAAATCCAAAACCATCTCGGGTTTGCCGAATATGGCTGGAATTCGGAATACATCGCCATATTTTTTTGCCATGCCGGTCATTCCTTCAATAAATGTTTTCTTATAGAACACTCCTGAAAATAGTAAAAATTATGGTATTAGTTTATGAAAAAACAAAATTCACCATTTTTATAATCTAATAATAGTTTTTTTCACCTAACGGCTGTTTAAATCACCCAAAACTAATCGAGTTAGATATAGGGTTATATATATATAATATAAATGATCAGGATGAAGAGACGAGTTGAAATCCGGGTGACTGTCCGTCTGTCCGTCTGTCCGTGCAAGCTGTAACTTCAATAAAAATTGAGATATCTTTATGAAACTTGGTACACATGTTTCTTGGTACCGTAAGACGGTTGGTATTGCAGATGGGCGTAACCGGACCACTGCCACGCCTACAAACGCCATTAATCAAAAACAAATAAATTGCCATAACTAAGCTCCACAACAAGATACAAGACTCCTATTTGGTATACAGGATCACATTAGGGAGAGGCATCTGCAGTTTAAATTTTTTTTAAGTGTATATATATCGCCTATACCACTGAAGCTATTATAAAAAAATTCACTGGGAGCACATGTTTTTAGCATCTCTATCGACGATGTGAAAATGGGTGAAATCGGGGGACAACCCAGCCCACTCCCTATATAACGCTACTGTTAAAAACTACTAACAGCACGATAAATCAAGCACTAAACGAGCCACAGACATTAAATTTTATCTCTGGGATGGTATAGGATGATAAGAACCACGTTAAAACTTAGATAGTGGACGTTCCACCGCCCACTTTTTGGTGAAAACCCATATCTTGAGATCTGCTCAACCGATTTCAACCAAATTCGGTACATAATATTCTTCTCATATTTGTATGTTGTAGTACGAAAATGGGCGAAATTGGATTACAATCACGCCTATTTCCCATATAACATCATTCCATCTGTTTTTTTTTACTTTCCTGTATGCAGACCAGCAACAATGATTATATCGGGGTAAAACTTTGCGTGAATAATACGTTTAAAGTATGCCACCTTGTGACCAAAAATATCTAAATTGAATCAAAACTATTCAAGCCCCTAGGTACTGAATATGTAGACCCCAGTGCCTTTAGTTGACTTTTTACATAGAACAAGGTGGCAAGGTCCACAAAGAAATCTAAAACGAGTATACCATTTGACTTTGCGAGAGTTAAAATGTTCGGTTACATCCGAACTTAGCCTTTGCTTACTTGCTATTTTTCAGTTATTATATGTATAAGTTATTATAATAAACTTTCTTACCTCCTGGTAAAACTCCTCGAATCATTTCATACTTGCTTGGTCCTTGCAGCTCTGAATATGGACGCGCGTTTTCCCAATCGTTCGGCGTGGACGCTGTGTCATTTCCCTACAAAGTCAAATTAAATAAATAGATAATAAATAATATTAATAGTATAAACTAGCATTAAATGTGCGTGTAATTATAAAAACAATGAAATAATGAATGTTTACCTGCATCTGTTTCATAGCTGTTGCATACCCCCTTAAAACCGTTGAGCTCAACGAATACCCTACTATTGCATCGTGTTTGATTAGATGACGCGATAACATTTTAAGTGTTTTGTTGTTATTAGTTAATCAAACTTCAAATAATAACAAAAAAACTTTTATTTTCACACAATTTTATTTGTAGATACTTCCGAACCCGTTCTTCTAGACAGATGTAGCACTGATCGCTACTGTACTTGTAAGCTTACTGACTCGCCAATTCGCTATTCAATGGTGCAAATATTCTAATCAGCATGAAATTTTATTGTGACTTATGCATTGCGTCGCGCCTTGCATTATGAAAGTTCAGGTGGGAGCTTTTTCTGATTAGTAAATCGATTAAAAAAGAATTCGATGAATTCCTCCTATTCATAGCCAAAGGCTCAGAGTTTACTTTCACGAAATTTGGCACGAATTATTTTTAGACCATTTTATGCTGTAAGAAATGTACCTGTGAAGGATATTATAGCTTCAGTGCAACCGAAAATAACGTGTTTTCGTGTATTTCTTATTAATTATTTATTGCCGCCGCTTGTAAAGATTATAGAATATATAGTCTTTTTAATCAAATTATATAGATTCTAGGTTTTGAGAAAACAAGGTCTACATAATTAATGATATATACATTGAATTTGTTTATAAATTTGTTTGAATTAAAAATCAATCATGTGGCAACCCTTTTCTAATTATACCCGCCAATAAACTTTCTGAAACTATTCTACACATATGGAAATATGTCATTACATTTTATAGAATTTTTTACTTAAAATTATGAGCAGGTGGCAACTCTTTATCAAAATATTTCGAACTGCAAGACTTATTTAATTATTTTAGTTGTATAGTAATAATTCATTTATCTTATCAATTTAAAACTGCAAGCTTTTGTGGATTTCTTCAGTTTGATGCTTATATTGTAAAAAATCGGTTTTCACATATTTTAAACTTTATGGAACTATGTATATTTATAAACCAGATAGAACTCTTTTCAAACTAAGTTTTCTCAAACTTTTGTAGTTTGCTGTTTATATTGTAACAATTCATTTATCGAAATTCTTTTACTCAAACTTTCAAGTAAGTTTTGAATCAAACTGAAAGAAAATTATTATTCAAATCAATTCATTCATCTCCATGGCGAGCGTATATAGGTATACTCTGAGATTTACGGAATTAATTGATTTGAAAGTACTCTAAAATTTTAGAAACATTTTTGCCAATTCATAACCAAATTTTTCTAATATCAATAAATACTGGTTTCTATACGGTACTGTGATTCTGAGCGGATTTAAGGAAGGTCCACTCTTTTCCAATTAATTTACATTTTATTCTAGATATTTATAGCTATAAAGTTGTTAATTTTGATTATATTTTATGCCAGGGTATACATTATTTGGTTCCAACCGAACATAGCCTTACCTTACTTACCGAAGGTATTACACTAAGATATTCAAAATGAGTCTTTATAAATCTGCACATTGTGCTCCTGATTTCGATGTATGGTAGTTTGATATTTTTTCTAAATTTCGAATGCATATTTTTACAGATTTTACATTTGTCACTGAACTCCTCCTAGACGGTTAGACCGATTTTGATAAAAAATTTTGTGTGAGTTCAAGGGGATTCGAGGATGATTTAGATTCACAATTTGGTCCACTGGAAAATGTTTTTTTAACTAATTTTTCATTTATAAGTAGTTGTTTATTTTGGAATGTTTTACATTGGATCCGGTAGACTGCGCTACCATCGCAGATGTGAGAACGTTTTACATAGAATTCCGGCAAAAATATATTTGAGCCTGGTAGATGGCGCTGAGATCAGATTCTAAGATAGCATAAGTATAGTTTAAACTATTAAGACTATAGACATGTCTATGGTGTATAGTGTCTAAACATTCATACTGCTATGCTGCTCTATACGGAAATAGTGCATATACAAAACTAAGAAATATGTACATAAATAACTAATAAATTTGTTTATATTTCTTGCTCATTCGCGAAAACGTGGTTCTTTTTGTAGAAATAAAATACTATGAAAAATACACAAGTACCAATGAGGATTAGTCATAAAAAAAATCATGGGCAACATTTTTTAAGCCACTATTTTGAGTGGAAAATTTCAAGGTGAAGTTGTACTTCTGCCACGGATTCCATTGATTATCCGTGCTTTTCTCACTGCCAATTATACTTTGCGTGCTCGAGAGTAGGAAAACCACCCAATTTATATGTTTATATCTCTCAAGGATTAACCAAAAATATTATACATCCTATTACATTACAATAACTTCAGTTTTTGTTGATAATTAACTCTAAGAATAAATACCTGTTATAGAATTGATTCAACCTTTTCACAATCAATTAAAACGACTTCAAGTTTTCATTTAATACAGCTTCTACAATAAACATCTTTGAAAGCATTAAATGACAAATATATATGAATGACGTTAGATATTGTAATAAGTTTCTAATTAAACATTTTCATCAAAACGGTCTAATTGTTACAGCTAATTTCAAAAAGTTTACATTTAAGACGAGGGACAGTACAACGTCTGTCGGCCGTCAAGTATATTTATATGTTTTAATTATTTTGTCGGAAACGTTATGTGTTAGCTATACCCAGTTCTCACTCATTCTTATATTCAACACTACGCTCCTCTCTCGTTGAATTTGTACTTGAGCGAATTTCTTTAAAAAGCTTATGTTGTTTATCAGGATTCTTGGCAGGGCTTAACAATATGCCGGTCAAGGTGGAGCTGGTATACCGGTGCAGTAAGAAATATTAAATTTGTTCAATAGCTCTCCATAAATTATCATATCAGGAGTAATCTATGTTGCTTTGATATTTGTTGCTTTAATCATTGTGACGTCAACTAAATTAACGGAGTTCAAAATTGCGTTATACGAGTATGGAAAGTGGGCATGGTTGCGGTCTAGTATTAAAAATTGTCTAAACATACTAAGATAATTGGAATATTATATAAAGTATTTGGTTCAAATTGGTTTGTGAGATATCAGAATGGTGTGCTAATTGCAAAACCTATAAACTTACAACTAATCTGAAAGGGAGACGTACGTATTACCATTAAGTGACCGAACTTAAAATAGGGAAAACAAGTAAGGAAGTTCTAAGTTCAGGTGTAACCGAACATTTTATACTCTCGCAACTTGCAAGGATCAAAGTCCGGGAAATTGCTTCAGGTTTCATTTTAAAGGAAGTATTGATCCGATTCAACCCATTTTTGACACAAATACTTACTCTTATCGAAAGTTTAATGTATTTATTTTATTATATGAATTTCAATTATATATCTTACACATTGCCCGATATTTTCAGTAAAAACTCAACTATAGGCATTGGGGTCCACATATACAGTACCTAGGGGCTTGATCAGTTTTGTTTCGATTGAAGTTTTACTCCGATACATTCATTGTTGCTTGCATAGTGGAAAGTGAAAGAATCAGATGTAATTTAAAATGGTGTTATATGGGAAACCGGGTTGGACTTGACCGATCGATACCAAAAACTAATCAGTTCTAAACCTTGAAGAAACACATCGTTAGTTCATCTGCTTCGCAGTTACCAGGGATATCACTATGCCCTGGAACCCATTGCGGGTTTATCGTGAAGTAGGATGTTAGATCCTCTAAAAGATCAAGACATTCTTTCACTATCTTTGATGAGACCATAGGATATTTGGTAGCTTGCTTTATCTCCAATAGTTCGTCTGCAACTATTTACTAATGGCGCCGTAACTACTGGAGTGTTATGATTTCTGGTGAATAATTCTAGCTATAACATGTGAATGCACATTCTTTATCTAAGAAGGCAATTAGAGTGTATTCTTTAATTTCCAGAGATTTTTCAATCGCCGCCACCACGGAGCTAAGCGCAGCCAAATTATATGGTTTCAGTTTGTTTCTTGTATATACAATAGTTCTATTAGCCTTTCCAACGTTATTAGAAGGAATGAGGAGAGACTAATTGGTATGAAGTCCTTTGGCCTTGTATGCGATCTTTTACCTGCCTTAGGTATGTATATTACCTTGACTTTTCTCCACAGCGAAGGGATATAGTTTAATTGCAGGGATATAGTTTATTTTTGTAATTCTGTGACTGCTGTAATTCAGCCGGGAATAGACCGTCTGGTCCCGGCGACTTGAAGGGCTTGAAGCTATTTATTGCCCACTTTCTTGAGCATATTCAATCGTATGGCTTTCAGAACTAGCTAGGACGAGGATATCCATTAGTAGTCCCAGCTACTCTTCACTGGATACCGTCCAACTGCCGTCTGGCTTCTGAAGATAACCGATACTATGCCCCGATTGTCGGTTTCTTGTGATAAACGTTGGTGTACTTCCCTTGTTACACAGCAGTAGCTTAGTGCCTAGTAGGTAATTGAAGAGACACTCACCTCTGTCGTTGACATCTGTGCTGCCCCAGACTGTGTGATGCGCGTTTGATCGCATCCAATTATAAGCATGCGTATTGATGCCTCGCTATCCCGTACCACCTCTTTTACCATCCGAGGTGGCACCAGCTCATTCTCATACGAGAAGCACGATACCAGCCGATAACTTCATGTGCTCGTTTCCCAGCTTACTGTTGCTGTGTCGTTGTTGCTGTAATGATGTAATATAAAAAAGTTAAGGTTTTTCTTTGCCAACTTTGGTTAGACCTATATTGGAATATGGCTCTGTTGTATGGAACCCTAGCTACCAAATCCATTCCGACAAATTAGAGTCCGTTCAAAAACAATTTTTACTTTTCGCTTTAGCGCATTTTCGATGGGATTCTAGGGTAAGTCTACCTCCATACACTAGTCGTTTAAAACTGATTAATCTACCTACACTTTTTAGTCGTAGGGAAATGCTTGGCATAATATTCTTAGTGAAAATTTTGAATGGAACAGTTTGCAGTTCTTTTCTCTTGTCTGAAATTAAATTTAATATCCCAGTTCGATTTTCGAGGCAGTTTAGACCTTTACTGCTAAAATTCTGTAGATCTAATTTTGAACTAAACGAGCCATTCCAGCACATTTGACTTATCTGACTCACTTTTCAAAATTAAAAAGACTTATTGTTTTCCCTTAATAAATAAAAAAGTAACAGTTTATTATATTGTAACTTTAAATCTTGGCTGTTGAAATTTTTGTTTCTGTAGCTGAGCAGTTTTAGATCTCAACACTTAAAAAACTGTCTAACCTTTTCTGACTCGGCTAATTCCGCACGTATGCGCATTGCGCCCCTTGCGTCGGTTGGGCGGGAGGAGGGTAATCGTTGGGCTATTAATTAATTAATTAATTATGCAGGCTCTGATTTTACCTTGACAATTAGCCATAAATAACTGTCCTAAGTCCGCAAATACGTCTTCCATTAACCCATGGCTCCTGATTGAGGACAAACTCAGGCTGTTCTATTGCCACGCGGTTAATTAGGGCTGCTGAAGCTGGTTTGCTGT